AAAGATTTTAGCTGCCTGGGAATTTAAAATAGCACAACTGTGAAAATTACTGCACGCGCGAGTGCATAAAGCAAAATTTATGCATTTATTTAATGACAATAAGTTTTTATTTTACAAGTACTGTACAGTACAACAACAGTAATATGATCTAGCAATTCGATTTCAATTCGCGGGGGCCTAAAATCTTTTATGCTTAAGAATTGCAAAGTGGTTTTCTTAGGAAATTCCAAGGTTGCGTTTCACTTCCGAGTAACGGGCGGAGGTATGCAGTCTCTGAGCGCCCTCTAGTTAGTATTTGTATTTATGAATCGTATATTTAACTTTAATAACCTGGATATAAAGTTTCTAAAATCTTGCACATTGTTTATATTCCTGCATATAGAATATACCCTTCAGGAAAGTATCTCACTTTGGCTATAAAGCCTACATCCAATCAAGAAAAGGATGGCCAAGGTGATGTCAGTACTTTCTGGAACCGTTCAACCATGTATATATTGTCTTGAATTGTATGATTCAGCTAGGATATATGAAACGTTGGATAGTAATATACCGTAAAGTAAGGCGTAAACCTCAGAATATAATATTCCTCCCCCCAGTATAAGCCCCCTGTGTATAAGTGCACCATCAGCTCCTCTGTGTCTAAGCCGGCCCGTTGGTCAATTAGCACAGTGACAATAATTCCAACAGCTCAGACAAGTGACAATAATTAGATTACAGCATTGTAATGTTTAGATTATACACTGTATATTTGTATATCGATCATTTCATCACATTATAACCATGCATAATAATAATAATAGACCCTTAATTATGGCATTTGGCCTGGGAGCCTCGCTCTCATGAATCAGCCTGAATCACTTTGCATAATTTACTAATGAGAGCGAGGCTCCAAGACCAAAATGTATGTGTGACGTAATTATCGAAAGGGCGTATTGGTATAAAGTCAGACTGGAAGCACTTTTACAACGTGCAACATTTCACTCAAATAATGATGCATATTACAGAAATTAAACCAGGAAATTAAACCACAGGTAGAATGTATATAATTATACACTAAATATTCTATCAATACTATGGAGTATTAATTGTTCATTCAGATGTGTATTAACAACAGTTGACATGGATGCTGGTGTGAAACGAAATGATGGAGAACCGCTGGAGACTCTAAAAAGGTGGTATAGATTGTGGCTTTGAATTTAGTTAATGTTCCCTAAGTTAGCCTATCAGTCAATCTGTCCTCGACTCCACTGTCTGTCTATCCATCATTCAATTCACTTATTCACCAATAGCGACGCCATCCTGAATCATGATGCATTATGGGTTATCCAGGGTAAAAATCCGAATTCAAAAGCCTTTAATGTCGCATTGAGACACAATACGATTTTTTTTTTCATAAACACTTCCTTGAGGACAATGAGGCAGTGTAAATCAATTTTATGCGCACTTTGTTGAAATTATTTCCCTTTTTAGGCCTAACAAAGATTTAAATTATAGATTTTATCCTGATTTGTTTTATTTTTCCCAGCTTTTGTGTGTTTTCTTAGTTCTTCTAAAAATTGTCTGTTATTTTCAACTATAAAAACGTGTGTTTTCGCTTACATATTTGATTTACAGCCCTTCAAAAACGCTCAATTACCCTGGATCACCCATAATGCATTGCGTTAAACGCGAAATTCAAGATGGCGTCGCTATTGGTGAATAGGTGAATTCATTCAGATTTTGTTGGCATCTCGCTTGATTCAATAGTTGAACGGTATATAATGTTGATGGAAATTATCAAGTGGAAATTTATATACATTTTACTAGACCTAACCAGTATGCCAACAAAATCTTAATATTTACCCATTACCCATAACCTAAAACGTGGCAGTACCCTATTAATTTATACATACACGAGCTTGTGGATAGAGCTTGACAACTGGCCTCTGTACCTCAGTTGGTTGGCGCACTGCACCAGAATCGCAGGTTCAATTCCTGCCAAGGACCTGAGAGGTTACATTTTTTGCAGCTGTTCCTGGTCAGGTCTAATAAAATGTATATAAATTTCCACTGGATAATTTCCATCAACAACACTCTTCAGTCCATCATTCAGCCAACCAAGTTATGACTCTCTTTTCTCTTATTCAGAATATGTGTATCTAAAATCTAAAGGTGATGAATGATGCAAGATATGGACAGAGGCCTTTGTTTGGAAATCATTTTGTTGCCGATATACCTGAGACGATTCATGTTGGAGATGTCACTGTCGTAACTGTTCTTGCTTAACCCAGTCAGAGCCAGCGCGACTCCCCTCTCAGGCCCTCTGACTTTAGACAAATTAAGTTGCATTGCACCCCAATGTGCCCTACTTTATTATTTTACTCTGTCTAAACACCAGATTATTTTACTCGTCAGGGGCATGGGTTAATTTTTCTGAAATAATGGCACTTCATATCATATTTAAAAATAGGTTCGCTAAGCGTACATGTATCTGCTCATGGTGATTGCATTGAAGGAGTTCAATCAATACTCAGTGGCTTGTAAAAATATTAAGAGACTGATGTTTACAGGTAAACTACGTGAAGCGTTCCTCTTTTGACTTCGTAACTCATTTGGAATTTTCCTCATTAGCTTTGGAAATTTGAGAAACTCTTTGCAAATCCCTTGAGGGAATTTGCAATGTTCCTATCGACTGTTGCAATATTCCAAACTTCATTTTAAATTTTCCTAACTTCCTGTTTTAATTTCCTAACTTCCTGTTCTGTTCTGAGCGTTGTTATTGGTCGATTATTTTTGTTAGCCAATTGCAACACGCAGAACAGAACAGGAAGTTAGGAACTTGTAACAGGAAGTTGAGAACTTCTAACAGGAACTGAGGAAAATTTTTTTGGCTTTTAGCAACATTGCAAATTCCCTCAAGGAATTTGCAAGGGAGTTTTTTAAATTGCAAAAGTAATGAGGAAAATTGCAATCAATTTAGAAACTCAAAAGAGGAACGCTTCACATAGTTTACCTGTAAATGAATATATTTTTTCTATAAACATCACAAATATTTATTATACACAGTTGCCTAGTTAAGTAATTGAGGTTAGATTTATATAGGGTTCACACATGTGAGGAAGAGTCAAATTCAAGCCATGTATCAGGAAATTCAAGGACTAATTACTGAAGAAAAGGGGTTAGAAATCAGTAAAATCTAAAGTTGAACGCAACTTTAATGAGTTTCGAACAGCTTTGTCAGACAGTTTTTTATACTTTTTTTATTCATTATATTATAATTCCACATTTGGAGCGAAATTTGTCGTCTAAGCTTTGGCACCAGAACAGTCACACACTGAGCAAAACATTTTGGTAATTGTCCTTTGGCTTTGACTCTGAACAAACACTAGGTTCACTGCGCTACAAGAATGGTGGGAATGCACGTGACAGGGGCCGCAGAACCGGGCGGGCAATGGGGGCATGTGCCGCCGCCCCCCGAGGGTATAAAGTGTCGTGCGCTGTTAGATACCGGTTCAGGGAATTCGTACGCTTCAGCTGCCTTGTTGGATTTGCTGCCGAAACGAACTCGTAAAAAGGAAGTGAGACGTGTTGAGATGATGCTTGGCTCAGTAACGAAGGATGAACCCGTGATAAGAGAAAGCGCTGAGTCAACAAAGGTGAGAATCGTCTACGACGCCTCAACCAAAGCCAACAGCGGAGCCCCTAGTCTAAACCAATGTTTAATCCAGGCCCCCACTGCAGAATGACCTTTGGAAGGTCTTGGTGAGAATGAGATTCCTCCCTGTAGCATTGTGCGGAGATTTAAACAAGCGTTCTTGCAAGTTCGGATAAGAGAAACGGACAGGGACGCACTCCGGTTTCACTGGAGTCCAGATGCGAGTCGTGAAGTCGAGACCTTAAGATTTACAAGAGCTTTGTTCGGGCTGACATGCAAAAACGTTTGTTTCAGCAGCAAACTGGTTACGAACAGCTCAAAACGATGAAAAGTTAAACGAATTCCTCAGCAAGAATCGAATTAGATGGCAGTTCAACCTGAGTCGCGCCCCATGGTGGGGTGGCCAGTTCGAGCGCTTAATCGGATTGGTAAAAAGAGCTCTACATAAAACAATTGGCAAAGGGTCGCTGAGTTGGGATGAGCTGAAGGAGGTCCTCGTAGACATCGAAGTAGCATTGAATACAAGACCACTCAGCTACATGGAAGATGATGTACAGCTACCAACGCTAACGCCTAACTCCATGATGTTCATTGGTTCTACATTCGCGCCAGAGCTGGAAGCACATCACATACAAGAAAAGGATCTACGCAAGCGTGCAAGGTATTTGTTAAAGTGCAAGCAAGCAATGTGGCGGAGATGGTCAACGGAATATCTGCGCGGTCTACGAGAGCGACATAACCAAAATCACAAGAAGACGTCGTTCACGGTGAAAAAGGGTGACGTGGTTATTATACAATCGGATGAACGAAGCCGTGGAAAGTGGCCTCTCGGTGTTGTCGACGAGCTGTACAAAGGACGTGATGGTGTTGTTCGTGCGGTGAAACTTCGTGCAGGAAAAACCTACCTTGAACGAGCAGTGAACCACCTGTATCCACTCGAGTTATCCTGTGACCGTACAGAAACAAAGGAACCTATCAGCTTAAACCCGGAAGCGGCGTCGTTCCGACCAAGACGAGATGCTGCAGTGGCAGCTCAACAACGCATTAAAGAAGTAGCAGAAGTAGAACGTTGACGAAAACTATATAGTGCAAATTGAACACTGAACGTTTATAGAACTTTATCCTTTATTAGTACTGTTTGGTTAGACCAGTCTCCTTTGAGGGACATATACCTCGCTGTAAGGTATATGGGGGGAGAGTGTCGGAAACTGTCGTAATCTAGAATTAGTATTTATGTTCACGCGTGGGACGCGCGAGTCCAAACTTTAAACACTTCGGAAAGTTCCGGATTATATCGGTGGTTGTTGTTTTTTTCCAGAGAGAACTTAAAAACATGTGGCTGTGAAACTGTGAAACTTGTGATTTTGTAATAGATATTATACTGTGTTTTGTTGTGATTTATTTTGGGCGATACTTGGAGGCAATCCCCAACACCCAAAATGTTTAGTTTCGTTGCACACCTCTTTAAACTAAAAGAAAATTACATATTCTTATAGATTAAGTGACGCTGAATCCAAATCTAAAAAGTTCTTGCGGGTTCACCCTGCAGTTTTTTTGTAAATTGCGATCAAAATCTTAAAATTTACGAGTTTCGCAATAGCATTTTTACTATATGCCATACGTCAAAATGCGTACTCTGGTACCAGTCACTCGCGCGCCATAGTGAAAATTATACAGGATACATCACTTCCGCCTCCTCTTGAGATATGTGAAATCAGATTTGAGGTAAACAATGAGCAACACGATTTTCAAGTTTCATATATTATTGCGACAAAGCGTATTTTCTGGCTTTGTACGAAGGATATTTAGCAACACCAGGTATTCTTTCGAGATTATGAACTTATGTACACACTTTTTCATCCTTATTGTGTGTAATAAAGGACGAAACAAACTTCAATTTTATATTTTGAAGACAGAGTAATGGACATAATTTGTAGTAATTGATATATTTGTATGGTAAGCCAACTTAGAGTGCCCCCATGGTAGTGCCTTGGATCCAACCCTTGATGCATGTTATCTAAATTAGTTTTATGTTATATGCCTAAAAAGATTATTAAAATTCTCCAGTGAACTGAAAACTATAGAATGACATCCAGTTTGACAACTTGTTAGTGTCACACAGTTTAATACAGTATCCAAGTGTCGATTTACTGCAGTATTTGATTATTTGCAAAAAACTGTTCTCTTCAACCTTATAACAGTATTTAATTAAATATTCATCTGACTGCATAAGGTTTCGAGTAGATATCATCCCAAATCCCAATATTTGAAGAATCATACTGTATAATATATAATTTCCTCACCGGGGTGTGTCTAATGCAAACAAATCATTTCCAGCCAGTATGCAGACATATAGCGAGCACTGCTGATAGGTGAAGCTATACCTGTCACATTTTAGGAAGAGTTACTCCTCTTCAACAAACATCTGGAATCTTAATAACATTTTGTCATAAATTAGATGGGTTTACCTACTTAAATTATAAGTTTCCACTACATACAGCAGCAGTTACTGTATGTGTAAGGTCACATAACTGCCACCTAACACATATAATTGCTCTTCTGCCCCTTAGCAAAGGCATGTCACAAACCTCTTCTGTCATATTGAACATTTTTAAACTTAGTTAGAATATCTCAACATTGCAGTAAATGATAAAAGCTAATGTGCTATTAAATTATATGGTACTAATTATAGTATTGTTTAGATATGTATTTTATATATTTACTATTAAGTATTTGGTAGTTTTTGGCTTACCATACTGATACAAATATATCCATTACTACAATTATGTCCATTAATTTATACTCTTATCTTCAAAACGGCAAAATATAAAATTGAAGTTTGTTTCGTCCTTTATTACAACGTATGGCATATAGTAAAAATGCTATTGCGAAACTCGTAAATTTTAAGATTTTGATCGCAATTTACAAAAAAACTGCAGGGTGAACCCGCAAGAACTTTTTAGATTCAAAGTGACTATATGACCGGCAGCCGGTCACGGTTTCTCAAATACTAAATGGCCGGCAGTCTAGTGACTATAGTTGAATATAAAAACTTTTGTTTGCGTTTATTTTTACCGAGCTTGTCGTTAGCCCATACGGCAAGGGCGCTGCGTGCGGAAAGTTAAACGCAGTCGGTGTCGGGATGTGTTTTGTCTGACTTAGCATTGTTTTTTCTTAAAATTTTTTAAACTTTTTTTTCCGACTTTTCTAACTCTCAAAAGGTTAGGGTTAGGGGTTAGGGTTAGAAAAGGGTTGGGGTTGGGGACGTTTTCTAGCCATCTTTTGGGGCACTAGACGACGGCCGACGGGCCTAAGAGTGACTAAGACTGGAATTCGCTAATGTAGGAACTAGGAAGTAGCAAATTATTGTCTTGTTCTTTAATACATGTGATCCCGTTGTATATAGGCAAAAAAGCTTCAACTCATGAATTGCCCAGGGCAAAAATAAAAGCGATTTTTTCAAAGAACAAAGCAGTTCTACACAGCCCTATACACCATCGGTCCTCGAAGAATATAACACACGCAAAAAATTTGCTTGAAATTACGTTAATTTCACACTGATTTATACAGAATACAACCGATACACAATATATAAATGTTCGCTTACCTTCATCGCCCCTTGAGTCAAAGGATTAGGCATTTTTCGTGAAGAAATTTTCACAAATTTGATCGTGATTCGTGACTTGAATGATGGCACAACATCATTACATCACTGTCATGTTCTCCCGCCAAAATTTCCAAACCAACTGTGCAGTGCTTCCACTTTCGAAAGTTAAAATTTCCTTTATGTCCTTATTTTGGCCAAATTAAATTTCCTTCAAATGGTCAAGGCAGATTATTTTTCACCCTGCTTCAACCTGCTCGGTTTCCTTTGTTCTTATCCGGGAATATATTCAATATTTCCCTCTAATAATCCCCCTCTAATAATCCCCTCTTAAATATTCACCTGCAATGTCTTTGCAACACAAAAAATGAGAAAAAACAACATCACAATTTAAGGCAATATGGCATTAAGAATTATTTCTATTCTGACTCATTAACGCAACCTCGCAATGTGAAAAAAATAAGTACGTTATTTTGAGGCACCTCGGGGATATGTGTTTATTCACCTCAAAATAACCTATACATATTCACCCGAGCGTTCAATTTCATGGGTATAATATTCACCAGAGTGTTCAAATTCCGGCATTGCGGAACGGAACGATACGGAATAGGGGATAAAACGCGGAAAAAGAAATAAAAAGGAAATAGCTGTTATCGTAATTGAATACGTCTATGTTACGGACCAGCGGTATCTGCATTATTTTAACATCCAGACGAGGCTATAGGGTCATGTTTTGTGTTTTTTGACCCTTTAGCCTCGTTTTCGTGCGTACTTCCACTGAGATACCGCTGGTTCGCCGCAGCGGTTAGCAAAGACGACGCGACGTCAACGAGGACGTGAAAATGGCGTAAAAATGGCGTGATATGCCCATCTATGGATGTGCCCACGCCATTTTTACGCCATTTTCACGTGGTTTGGAAACTCCGCTAAAGTCTTTGTTCTATCTTTTTGTTCGCGTTTATGCAGTTTTGTGCACGGTGCACGGTCAATGAACACAGAGGTCGTTTGCCGACTCAGCTACGTTATTACAATACTTTTTTGGAGGATCACCCAGACCCGTGCGTCGGCGGACGTTTTGTAACATACAGGAACTATCATATCTTCCTACAAAATGACAAAGTATTTTTTTTAAGTGATGACACTAAATAAATAGATCGATTTTAAGTCTTTTTAAGGGATTTTTATGGAAACTTTCCGAATTTCTCGGACAAATTCATCACTGTCAGTTCCAAATGCTAAAATACCCCTTGTGTCGCTATTTAAACTCCCTATCTTACTATAGAAGTATTATACGCATCAAACGTCTTCGTTTGACTTATAAGTATTGGTCCAATCAACGTTGGTTGATGTCCGCTTACTCTATCTACAACCTTCAAATTACAATATGACGTCACGGTAACGTTAAATCTAAAACTGTCTGTACCAGTGTAGGTAGTACGAATGTGAAAATGCTGTTCTGAGTGGTTATATTACTACCTTAAAAAATA